ATTAAAGTTTATTTTGGGTTTTATTCTTTGGGAAATATTGATTGCAGGATGTAATATTTCGTTGATTTTTTTTCTAATGTAGAATTTTGTTTGCTGATGATTGTTCAAGAATTCCATGTATGTTATACAAAACATTTGCAGTAGGGCCTTCAGAGTTGGTAAAATGTTTGAAGGACTCAAGCAGTGGAAAGCTGGAAGAGTCTCAAACTCAGGCATCTTTTAAACAACATGTTTTCTTGCTACAATTCCTGATGTGAATGTAAATACTTGATTCAAAGTTCTTCCATCCATCAATCTTGATTGCTTAAGTCTATTAGGTCCTTTTGTGAAATCTTGATTAGATTTGAAAATCACAGCGAGACTAATGAAATTCTGTTGAATTGTCATATTTCAAGATGGTGGACGGTTGGAGCAGAAAGACAAATTTCAGCTAACTTGTCAGTTTTTAGTTTCATTTGTTTATTGTATCAATAGACAACATCTGAATTTGAATCCCAGTGCTTGCAACAGTACAACTGAGTAAAGATTAGCAAATAGGATAGTGAGGAATGGGGTCCATTTTTGTCAGCAGAATATGCAGTAGGTGATTGGTATGGATTCCTCTCGTAAATTACACACGATTGGACAGACTGCAATGTGCGATGATTGATGACATGTGGAGAGCAATGAAATTGTTCCATCTCCTTTCCCAGCCAATAAATCGGCCACAGAGGCACCAGCATCTACTGATATACACTGGACAATGACCTTAATCAAGCCTCAGCAATTCGTGTCCTTCTCCACTGTACTGTGAAATATGGACTAACGGTTCTTGTGGCCGTTGTAGAAGTCTTGAACTATCTGACTGAGAGTCATTGGATACTTTCTGAAGGAAGCACTTTACAACTGGGAGAGATCCAGTTTCTCTGTGGCATCAGCTTGGGATGGCATAGTTTCATGTTAGGTCAATGTTTGTTGAAAAGCAAGGAATTACCAAGTCTGTAGTGGCCACAAGTGCTAGAAGATGGAGCGATGAGTTGAGTTTTTGACAAGCAGCGTTTTGTCAATCCAGACATTTAAATTATTTCCCTAGTTCCTGTGTCATTCAATTCAAAATCAGTCAACACTAAAAAGAAAACTTTGTTACAGTCTTTATTTGGTTAATTCAATTGCAAGTATTCTGAGCTTCTGTTGTGTCAATGATTTTGATCATGCTAAGATGACAAAACCTTGAATAACTTGCCCAAACTGTTATACTGTTTAACAGAGACGTGAGTCAATGACATTGTATCGATTTTCATTAATTAAATTTTCAAAGCAAATAAAACCATCAGTCCAGTAAAGAAAACCAATGGCTTTTTGTGATGTCAAAGGGAGGTAGGATTACTTGGGCTATTTCTGAATGACAAGAGAGCTCTTCCCACTGCTCTGATGTCCTTTGTTTTTTTCACACATGGATTTTAAGGGACTACTGCTTCACATTAGAAACTTGTGAGTTACTTTGTATTTGTCTTTGGATTCCATATTGACTACTCTGGCATGGAATAATGGTCAGTATGGATGACAGCAGACTATGGCAAGAGCTGTGTACATATTATAGCCTGAGTTCAGTGTGTGAATGTAGTTTTACTCCACTTCTATCAATATTCCCACAATATCATGATGGGGATGTAAAACATGGGAAATTAAAGTCAGATCTTTGGCATTATGAGTGAATGGTTCAACCATAGGGCTACCCTCTCAATAGAATAAGATGCTAGAGCGAAGAAGGGGGTGAGATTGGGATGCTAGACCTGAAGAGGGGTGAGACTGGGATGCTAGAGCTGAAGAGCGGGTGAGATTGGGAACTTGAGCTTGAAAGGGGTGAGATTTGGATGCTAGAAAGGGGCTGAGATTGGGATGCTAAAGGTGGAGAGGGGATGATTGGAACGCTAGAGCTGAAGAGCGGGTGAGATTGGGAACTTGAGCTTGAAAGGGGTGAGATTGGGATGCTAGAAAGGGGGTGAAATTGGGATGCTAGAGGTGAAGAGGGGGTGAAATTGGGATGCTAGAGGTGAAAAGGGGTGAGAATAGGATACTAGAGATGAGAAGGGGTGAGATTGGTATGGGGTTGGTTCATAAGACTCCAGGGCCTTCAAGAGAAACTACCAATTCCATTGCTACTATTCAGCACCTCATAATGGTTTCTGACATGTTTTGTTTTTGTTAAGAATTATTGGTTCCTGACATTTTGACCTGTCACCTGTTAGTGTTGCTGTTTCTTCTTAATATCCTGTGCATGTTAAGGTGAAACATATTATATACATCAAAACTATCCGTGTGTCCGTATTATGACAGTTTGCTTGCTATTATCCCAAGACCTGAAACATTTACATATTCCATCTATCTTCGTGGATGTAATGGATATTAAATTGTGGGTGGTTGTCACTTTTATCTTGTTTGAGTAGTCACAGAATATTGCGTTGCAGAAATTTGCAATCTAGATGCGGATGTCTCTGTTCTGCAAACTGCATGGAAATAGCAGTTTGAGAGGTGCCAAGATGTGAATCAGTGATAGAGCAAGATAGCCTAGTGTCGAGTGGTAGGCCCCAGTCAGGCCCGGTATTATTAACAGGTTTCTCAAAATACTGATATAGCCGTGAAAACAAGGTGGAAATAAGAAGTTGTTGCTTGAATACTGGTGTTTGTAATTTTTGGGTGCCAACCCAGACAATATGATTAACCTTCCTATACAGAGCGCTTGGTTGGGGTGAATACTTAGGGGTCAAGCAACTCTACCTATGGAAATTATGGCACAGCCGTCAGATATAATAGGGCCTGGGTACTGTACAGAATTGTTTGTTCACAGGGGTTACTAACCCAGGCCCCTACCCCCACTGCATGTATGATATGTAATGTGTAGTGGGTGTAGGGCCACGGCTCTCCAACAATGTATGTGTAATATATACTGTATTCGACGTAATAAGCGCCCCACTCTAATAAGCGCCCACGGCGATATTTGGTAATATATTGGCTTGTGAACAATCCCAATTAGCACCCCTTCCAATTGATCAATGTACACTTATTTATTCATGTATAATACGCACTCGTGTGTTCTATGCACCCATAATTATGGGCAATTAAATTTTGGAAAATATATCTGTCGTGTATGATACGCACAGACTTTTCTTTTGTATCATTCAGGCTGTCAGCATAAACCACGAAATTTACGATCTTTCAGCTCTGTTTTCTTTATCACCAAAATTATATTTTAATATGAGCCCCCTATTTCTAATTTTGAGAGCGCCCTGAGCTCTTATTACGTCGAATACAGTAACATATATTGTTGTGTGTTTTAACTGGATTTCGTTGGAGTCTACGATATGTATTGCCTACCAGAATTAGTGAGAACTGTGACATTAGAACCATAAGAACTGATTTAGAGAGTGAATAATATTCAACACTGCATCAGCAAGTACTGTAGTTAAACTCTATCAACGGTAATTTATTTTGTGTTGCCTTTCTGAAGCGGTTGCACAATTTTTGAAGGTTTAATGACAGTCAAGATTTTGTATGTTTTTTAGTTGAAATTTTTCTGTTCTGTATTGGAAGAAGATTTTTCTTGAGAAGTGTTGCGAATGGACAGCCCACATTTGTGAATGTCATGTGCTGATTAAAGGAGTAGGGTCATGAATAATGGATAAGGCGCTCTACCCTGAGGACGAGCCATCGTGGCATAACTGATGGTGTTCCTGCTGAAGGAAACCTTCTTCTTGACTGCCAGTATTGGGCTTCAGAACGCTGTGAATATATTTCTGTATATATATGGCTGGAAGGGTCGGACTGTAGCAGGCAGATTAAGGAGCATATCTTGGACTGGTATTATCAGATTGTGTTAACTGTTTTGACTTGCGAGTTATTGTTGGCTGATAAATGCTGTTATGAATAAATGTTGTGTGTGGCTTAATTCCTCCTGGAGAAGGAGCTTATTGTGTAGTGATAAGTGAAACACTGCAATACTGCAGCATGATATCATCATCATCATCATCATCCAATGGGATGAACATGAAAATTGGTTAGCCCTGTAGGTAATGTGTTTGCTCATAAATCATAAACAGGGTTTGATTCCATATATGGTTATAATAATTAGGTTTTTCTTGGTTTGCCCATATATTAGGTGAAAATGATATTGGAAAAACAATTTTGAGGATGTTCACGTAAAACCCGATCATCAGCATCATTGTCACCATCATCATCACCAGGCAGTGTTTGAAATTAATGGGACTCCTGGGGTCCTTGAGGCCTTTTCCTTTGATACTTGAATCTAGGGATCCCCTACATCTGTCACTTGTAACTATAGGGTTATGACAAGGACCCCCTGACTTTGTAATCAGTCATGAGTTATTACCATACAGTGTCTTAGGATACACTCAATGGCCTTCCCTGTCGACTCGGCCTCCAGCGTCCCATGCTTGTTTTAAATGCTGACTACCAGTGATGAGGATGCCAAGGTTATTGTGTGTCACTCTGCCCAAACTCCAGGGTTTGCTGCCCTTGCTGTCAACCACTGGTTTGTCTAACCCTGATTGGATTGTTTCAAGCTGCCAGGCTATAGCAGGAATAGTGCTGTCTGTGTTCCGTAACACAACGTTAATAAATCTTTGAAGTGAATAAATCAGATATTTGCTATATTTACAAATGATACAGTACCCTCACTGCAACGACACAAACACAAAGAATTAACTTAACTGTCTCAACTCTCATGATGTACTCTTCCATTAATGTTTATTTGTTTCTTTGTACCTCTGCACTTTGCTATATCCAAGCTATATGACGACAGTCTGTAAATAATCAGGCCTGAACCAGACAATCCAGTGACTGATGATGTGAAGAATGGCCATGCAGTTTTGGTACGGTGACACGCTATCAGCCAAGTAACCAAGTCTTTGTGGGGACCTGTTCTAACCGTGAATACCTACACAGTGTTATGTTGAGGCTATGTTCTGCTGTATGTTTATGCCTGGGTGTTTCTCTGCTTGCAGTACCTTGGAGGCAAGGTGTTGGTGAGCCACAGTGAGCATGCTGCCGACTGGCCACCATCATATACATCGTTACAGGCCGGCCAGGGGGACATGAGGGCCTCCAGCCCTGCCAAGGACACCCACAGCCCTGCCAACAGTAACCGCAACAGCGCTGCCAGCAGTGACAGCGGCAGGGGAGTCAGCACTGGACATCTAGAACCTAAGGTTGGAGCATGTGTTGACGTTAGGTTTACTACCCTCATCAGAGGTAATCACTGGCTCCAGGCACCATGGAGATCCAGCCACACTGCCATCTAATCTGATCCTTGTTAGCTGCATCAGAAAAATTTGACCGACTTAAGAATGTGTGAATTGATCCGAATGTATGGGAAAGAAGAACACTTGGTCTTTGTTGGGAGAGAGCTGGAGGGTTGTCTCAACATTGCAACCTGCTATGTTCCCACAACCCACAGCCCTGATCCTTGTATGCACCAACCCACCCAGGCCAAGGTGCATATTATCTTACCCCACCCTTCTTGCTGAAGACCTTACCGTACTCCCAACCCCACACCCTACGCTCCACATCACTCTCTCTTCCCCCTCCCCTCCCTCACCCCCCACTCCTCACCCCTCACCCCCACACTCATCTATAATGAGATGAATATCTCACTGTCAGTCAACCTATTAGGAGCTGAATGAAATTATTAAATATCTAAAATATAAGTAAACAGTTTGAACACCTGAACAAGCATGTGCTTGCAGTTGCACTTCCATGTGCATTTGTAAACCTAGGATGTGTCAGGCGAGCACTGGCTCGAAGGCAGATGCAGCTATATGCACACTGCATCTATTTACTAACATGGATCTATTCCCAATCTGCAGGGACCAAGTCAGCACTGCAATAACAGACCCACTGACCTGTATGCTCGTCAGTATTTACATCGCCAGTCTTGTGGTGCACCGCCACATCAGCTTCTTTCATCTTCATCGGGTGTAATTTCTAGAGAAATTAACAGCGGATGCTGTGTGCTTGTACGTTTTTCTAATGCCACATTTTTAACAGACTGAGCAGATTTGTAGAGAGTTTGTATTTAATGAAGTCAGAATTGTAATCTCGATCAGACATCAGGTAATGAAATTGAAGACATTTTCAAATTTGATAAGCCAAGTAAATAAATTTGGTTGAAGATTTAACTGATTGTACACACAGACTTCCTTCTGGATTTAAGACTTCAGACAATTTGAATTGATGGTAAACTGAACACCACTGTGCGGATGTCATACTTGTATATAATTAAGATGTACACTTCTATATCCATACTAGGTTGAGGCAGAATGTTCATCCATCTCTGATGAGAAAGGGGCGGTCGGGTAGCCTAGTGGTTAACGCGTTCGCTCGTCACGCCGAAGACCCGGGTTCGATTCCCGACATGGGTACAATGTGTGAAGCCCATTTCTGGTGTCCCCCGCCGTGATATTGCTGGAATATTGCTAAAAGCGGCGTAAAACCACACTCACTCACTCTGATGAGAAAAACTCTGAAAGTTTCAAAAGACCTCAAGATGATTGACTATTTGTTTTGTTATGAATCAACTAAGCTGGTACGTCACAGTATGTCAGTGGTGCATTGATATGCATGATGTCCTATCAGCAAGAGCTAGTTGGTTGAAAGATGTTTGGTTCCAAGTCACTGTGAGGATGGAATATAGGTTTTGTAATTCAGAATGAAAGTAAAGGGGTTCTTGTCATAATCCTAATGCCAAAAATGACTTAGAAGCTCTCTCGATTAAAGTACTATTGCAGAAACCTCAGGAATCCATTAATTTCTGAATTCCATCCATGGTGTCCGTCCTTGTGGGTTATGTGTATTTATTTGTGGTGCAGTTGGGATGTTAAGGAAGTCCTTAGCTTGTCCAAGGATGTCCTTAGCTTGTCCAAGGATGTCCTTAGCTTGTCCAAGGATGTCCTTAGCTTGTCCAAGGGTGTCCTTAGCTTGTCCAAGGATGTCCTTAGCTTGTCCAAGGATGTCCTTAGCTTGTCCAGATGTCCTGATGTCAGATATATAACAATGTCTTGAAAGTCACCTGAGAGTTATGATGATTCAAATTATCACAGGCATAGATCTGGTATTTGACATTTGTAGATCCATTTGAAGATCCATCCTGTGATCAGTCTGTCATTATAAGTTGAACTATTGTCTTGTCTAGCTGTTCTGCAGACAGGTCTCTTAAGGAATTCACCAGAGACAAATGTTGATGTGCCTGGTAATTTTACACTCCTCTATAAGTTTGAAGTAGAATACATCATTTAAAGTCTTTAATTGAACCTCATGCTAGTCATGAGAGCTGGGGGGGTGGGGTAGCCAAGTGGTTAAAGTGTTAGCTCATCATGGGGAGGCTGTGTTACTTGGCTTATTGTGGGTCATGATACCCCAGTGGAATGGATCCATACTTGAATATCTACAGGTGCCGTGACAAGCAGATATAGTGCTGATTGTGGCATTAAACAACATTCACTCACTCACTCACTCACTCACTCACTCACTCACTCACTCACTCACTCACACTACTTCGTGTTTTTTGTTTGCCAGTTTACTACAACACTCAACAATATTCCAGTACATAATTGAGTTTCAACCAATCCAGTGATTGATATTATGAGCAACAAACCATGCTGTTGTGATACGATTGCTATGAAGCAGGACCCGGAGCATGATGACCCGATTCATTAAGTCACCTCTTACCTCACCCCTTAAGTCACCTCTTACCTCACCCCTTAAGTCACCTCTTACCTCATCCCTTAAGTCACCCCTTACCTCACCCCTTAAGTCACCTCTTACCTCACCCCTTAAGTCACCTCTTACATCACCCCTTAAGTCACCTCTTACCTCACCCCTTAAGTCACCTCTTACCTCACCCCTTAAGTCACCTCTTACCTCATCCCTTAAGTCACCTCTTACCTCACCCCTTAAGTCACCTCTTACCTCACCCCTTAAGTCACCTCTTACCTCACCCCTTAAGTCACCTCACAACCAACATATGTTACTGGGGATCAGTTCTGACCCAGAATCCCCATGGGGCCTCCACTCTAAACAACAAGATAAGACTATCAGATTTCCAATAAGATGAGGAACAGCTAGTGTTGATCCTCAGTTACCTTGTTGCTGAATGTATGTGTATGTTTTCTTGATCTCATAATTTGTAGAGCCAAACTTGGCGCTGGGGAAAAAAGATTTGCAGAAACTATCACGATGTTGTTTGAGAGCAATATATTCTTCTCTGGAAACAAATATACACATGCGGAGAATCTATTCTTGTGCACAGATGCATTCACATACTTTAAAAACACATACACACCTTGAAAAGCATGCATGTAGCTAGTGTGTGTTGACTCATTTGTGTTTCTTATACCAACAGGCTTGCAGACCCTTTACACAAATAATGCACATCTCGGCTTCCGAAACAAGATCACTTCATCAAATGCTCAAACTCCCAAACTGTGCTTCTTGTTGCAGTCTTTCTTGGGAAGGTTTAGCCTAAAGGTTATAGAGACATTGGTTGTTTGTGATGCATATCTATTTATGAAATTAAACCTTCACCATAAACATACATACACTTATGACAGGAATACATACTGAAACAAGTCAAGCTTTAGCAGTAGATGGCAGAAAGGCATTTTGAAAATACAAACAGTGGCATGATATTTATGGTAATGGCAAATGCTGGATTTGTGTTCGTATGGTGTTGGGAATGCAGAATTAGACATTAATGTTTGCCTGTTCGGGATGGGGGGGGGGGGGGGCGTAAATCTTTATTGTTCTGTTGACTGGCTCAATCTTACAGAAAACTATATTCTCCTGGGTTGCTCCCAAAAGCGATTAGCACAAAGGTGATCATAATGCCCATACTTTAACATAGACCATGACTGTCGTAGCGCTATGATCGCTTTGTGGAACCGGGGCCCTGGGTGGGAGATAGTAATGTCCGATCATTCTTTTACAGTTCTGAAATCCAGCTATTTGTGATTCACAGCACACTGTACAAAGTATATGTGTCAGCCAAGAACAGAAACTCACTATATCATATTCTACATTAAAAAAATCAAGTCAAGGCCAGCCAAAGTTCAACTCTGACTCTTAGGGGATTGATTGCTTTATTGTCAATCAGACATCGGACAGACAGATCACAAGAGTCTCGTTTTTGGGTAATTTAATCAGATATTAACAGAGGCCTTGTGGTCTACCAGAGTAGGAGACAGTGCCAGGTGTTGAGGTTGTAGAGATTGTGGCCTGAATATATTAGACTTCTTACACTGGGTACTGGATGCAGGCAGTCTGTCATCTTGTACACTCACTATTCTGTAGTGAGTGAGTGAGTTGGGTTTTTAATGCCGCTTTTAACAGTATTCTAGTTAAATCGCAGCATGTCAGCTTAACGTGGAAGGAAAGCCTGAAGTGATGCAGGTCTCAGATGTTTACCACTTCGGTGAAACCCATGAGCACAGGTATGGTGCTGACAAACCTAGAAATATAATTCGGGCAAACCAGGATTCGAACCCACAGTCATAGGTTTCTGGCATGCCCAAGAGACACAACTCTGCAAAGCGAATCACAGCGCCTTAGACGACTGGGCCACCTGTGCCCCCACTGTTCTGTAGTAGAGTGTGGGTTGTTCCATGCTCCGTGGAAGTAGAAGCTGTTGTATCTTGCTTTGTGGAGTTGTATCCCTGGGCTGCTAGATGTGCTGGTTTGGGGTTTGAATCCCAGACTCACCCAATTATGATTTGTGGGATCCAGAGCCATGTTCATGTTTTTTTACCAAAATGGTAAGCATGAAAGATGTGAATCTCTTTGAGCTTTCCTGCCAGATTAAAACAAACTGACCATCATGAAATATCTTTTGTTTTGAACTCTAAGACCATGTTGTTGTCATGCAGTGATGTTGTTAAATCTATTACCAAATTGTTGTCATACAGAGTTGTTGGGAAGTCTTAAAACCACATTGCCATACATTGTTGTTGGAAGTCCAACATTACATTGTCATAAAGTGTTGTTGGAAGTCAACATCGATACAGGTTTTTTTGGAGGTCTAACACCATGTTGTCATAAAGTGTTGTTGGAAGTCTAAAACCACATTGTCATACAGTGTTGTTGCAAGTCTAAAAAACCTCATTGTCATACAGTGTTGTTGGAAGTCTAAAAAACCTCATTGTCATACAGTGTTGTTGGAAGTATAAAAAACCACATTGTCATACAAGTGTTGTTGGAAGTCTAAGACCATGTGTTGTCATACAGTGTTCTTGGAAGTCTAATATCACATTGTCGTACAGTGTTGTTGGAAGTCCAAGACCATGTGTTGTTATACAGTGTCTTGGAAGTCTAATATCACATTGTCGTACAGTGTTCTTGGAAGTCCAAGACCATGTGTTGTTATACAGTGTTCTTGGAAGTCTAATGTCACATTGTCGTACAGTGTTGTTGGAAGTCCAAGACCATATGTTGTTATACAGTGTTCTTGGAAGTCTAATATCACATTGTCGTACAGTGTTGTTGGAAGTCCAAGAACATGTGTTGTTATACAGTGTTCTTGGAAGTCTAATATCACATTGTCGTACATTGTTGTTGGAAGTCCAAGAACATGTGTTGTTGTACAGTGTTGTTGGAAGTCAAAGACCAGGTTTCTGGCATGCCCAAGAGACACAACTCTGCAAAGCGAATCACAGCGCCTTAGACGACTGGGCCACCTGTGCCCCCACTGTTCTGTAGTAGAGTGTGGGTTGTTCCATGCTCCGTGGAAGTAGAAGCTGTTGTATCTTGCTTTGTGGAGTTGTATCCCTGGGCTGCTAGATGTGCTGGTTTGGGGTTTGAATCCCAGACTCACCCAATTATGATTTGTGGGATCCAGATCCATGTTCATGTTTTTTTACCAAAATGGTAAGCATGAAAGATGTGAATCTCTTTGAGCTTTCCTGCCAGATTAAAACAAACTGACCATCATGAAATATCTTTTGTTTTGAACTCTAAGACCATGTTGTTGTCATGCAGTGATGTTGTTAAATCTATTACCAAATTGTTGTCATACAGAGTTGTTGGGAAGTCTTAAAACCACATTGCCATACATTGTTGTTGGAAGTCCAACATTACATTGTCATAAAGTGTTGTTGGAAGTCAAAATCGTTACAGGTTTTTTTGGAGGTCTAACACCATGTTGTCATAAAGTGTTGTTGGAAGTCTAAAACCACATTGTCATACAGTGTTGTTGGAAGTCTAAAAAACCTCATTGTCATACAGTGTTGTTGGAAGTCTAAAAAACCTCATTGTCATACAGTGTTGTTGGAAGTATAAAAAAACACATTGTCATACAAGTGTTGTTGGAAGTCTAAGACCATGTGTTGTCATACAGTGTTCTTGGAAGTCTAATATCACATTGTCGTACAGTGTTGTTGGAAGTCCAAGACCATGTGTTGTTATACAGTGTCTTGGAAGTCTAATATCACATTGTCGTACAGTGTTGTTGGAAGTCCAAGACCATGTGTTGTTATACAGTGTTCTTGGAAGTCTAATGTCACATTGTCGTACAGTGTTGTTGGAAGTCCAAGACCATATGTTGTTATACAGTGTTCTTGGAAGTCTAATATCACATTGTCGTACAGTGTTGTTGGAAGTCCAAGAACATGTGTTGTTATACAGTGTTCTTGGAAGTCTAATATCACATTGTCGTACATTGTTGTTGGAAGTCCAAGAACATGTGTTGTTGTACAGTGTTGTTGGAAGTCAAAGACCATGTGTTGTTGTACAGTGTTGTTGGAAGTCTAAGACCCCCTTGTTATGTTGCAGGTACACAATCTGGTGAATGTGCAGGTGTCGAGCCAGCATCGTCTGTCAGGCCAGAGTTATGAGTCAGGTGTGTCGTCCAGACAGAGCTACCATTCTACATCCAGTTCCAGCCTCGGCAGTCTTGACCGTCTAGAGGAATCTGGCTACACTAGCACCATCAACGTGGCGGAACTGTTCCATGCCGGAATGCAGGTGAGTTAGCATCCCATCTGTGTACAGTGACAGGTGCATAGCAAGCCAGTTGGTTCAATTCTTTTCTAACATTTCTGATTTTTAAAAATCCTTTTGAAACTTTGATTTTCTCCCTAACTCTTGACAAAATTGATATTTTGTAACATTCAATCCACTTTAAACTCTTACCAAGATTTTAATTTGTTGAGAAAAGAATTAGGACATAACGATCAGTTGAGGTTTTTTGTTTTTGTCTTTCACATTTCTTTTTGGGGGCACGGCTGGCCCAGTCGTCTAAGGTGCTGCGATTTGCTGTGCAGAGTTGCGTCCCTTGGGCACGCTAGAAACCTATGATTGTGGGTTCAAATCCTGGTTCACCCCGATTATGTTTCTAGGTTTGTCAGCACCATAACCGTGCTCGTGGGTTTCACCAAAGTGGTAAACGTCTGAAACCTGCATCACTTTGGGCTTTCCTCCCACATTAAGGTGACATGCCACGATATAACTGGAATACTGTTAAAAGTGACGTTAAACCCAACTCACTCACTCACACTCACTCACTCATATTTCTTTCCTTAAAAAAAGTCATTTCCATTGTTATAAATAAAAATAATGATATCCGTACAGGCAGACCAGATGACTTTCATGGATTTTTACAGGACGGCAACTAGCCAATCAGATAGATAGCTTATTTAGTGAGTAATGATAAATAATTATACGTTTGTATGTCTAGGACCATGAGGTGCTCCACGCGTGGCTGTGTGACCTGAAGTTTGAAGAGTACTATGACAAGTTCAGCCAAGCTGGATACGACATGCCCACCATATCACGCATGACTCCTGAGGTAAGTCACATGACCACTCACACCACGCAGCTGAATTTGTTGTACAATATTTTACTACCTTGTGAATATTTTTTTCTATGTTCTGCAATTTATGAAATTAAGAGTGGTTTGGGGTCTTTAAGGACCTACGGCATTTGTATTTAGTGTCAACCCTGAATCTTAAACTTGTAACATTGGGGTTATGACAAAGATTTTCATGCTTAATTTCGAACAATGTTCTGTGTGCATTATCTTAAATACGTAGCGCAGGCAGATCCTTGAATTAAAAAGTTTGAAGTTAACGAAAACACATACAGGTTGACACATAAGTAGGGGTGACTATTGGTCTGGAAATGCGATAACTATTGATATTGAAAGAAACTATTGTGATAAATATCGATAGTTTTCAGTGTATAATTTTAGATGGCTTTTAGAGTTGAATTAAACCTTGGAACTGAAGTTTCCTTTGACTGTGGTAACCCTAACAACAAATAAAAAGTAAAGTTTGAGATATGACCGATTTGTGAAATAATTAAAGAAAAAGAAACTTCCACATTACCATGTGTAAATTACTACCACTCATGATCGAAAGAAAAACATATTTGAACAGCATTGCATGTATTTTATTGATATGGTAAATATAATCGAAACTATGGATATTCCTTACTCAAATCGATACTATTGATCGGAAACTGATTTAACAATCGATTTATTGTCTTTAAGTGCTTACCAATAGCAATATGTCAATATTTCCATTTATCGTGACACACCTACACATAAGGTGTCTGAAAGTGCATTTGTGCATTTTCTGGGGGGATGGGAGAAGGGGGTGCCTTCGGGAACCACCGATGAGTACTAGCATACCACAGTTGTAACAGTGTTTGATGGTCACTCTGAAGCCTACCTAGGTCCACATCAGTATAAATGTGTGAAGCTCATCCTTGTCTTCAGCAGTGTAATGTTTTGTGCTGAACAAAACGTTAAACTATGACAACTCGCTTATTACCTAGACAACTGAAATATGCAATACACACATCGTGAAGATGCTGAACTGTAGATAATGTAAGTATGGAATGTTGTCATTGCAGGATTTGACAGCTATTGGGATTACCAAGCCAGCGCATCGGAAGAGGTTAAAAGCTGAGATAGCACGCATGAATATTCATGATGGAATACCCGATTTCAAACCGGTATGTAAACATGCAGAACATGCTGTGTAAAGATCTACATGGAGATTGTCAAACCCTGCCCATCTGTAAGCCTTGATAGTGTAACAATGAAACCCTGTTAAGCGAGACACTGTCAACCACGCCTTCTGGGCCATTGTGATGGGATTGTCATGTAATTGAAGGTGGCGGATAAGGACTGGCAAATTGGCAGTCCCAGTGAATATGTTTCATTTAGGTAGTTTAAAGATCACATGTATCTTCTGACTCCAATTTTATGCCTGACAGTTGATAACCCCAACAAACCGGAGACAATGTCTCAAGTTCACACATGGCGCTGATTATGCAGTCTAGACCTGGACTTAAGCTGGGCTCCAAACCAGGGAGCACACTGCCCACTCACTCAAACTATATATCTGTGCTGGGGAAGATCATTATGGAGTAGTTTGGTAGTGAAATTCACTCCACATAAGTTTAACCCATTAAGGTTTGCGTTAAGTCTTATTAGTCCGAACAGGGGGCATGGGTGGCCCAGTCGTCTAAGGCGCCGCGATTCGCTGTGCAGAGTTGCTTCCTTTGGGCACGCCAGAAATCTATGATTGTGGGTTCGAATCCCAGTTCGCCGGTTGTGTTTCTAGGTTTGTCAGCAACATACCCGTGCTCGTGAATTTCACCGAAGTAGTAGACGTCTGAGACCTGCATCACTTCGGGCTTTCCTCCCACATTAAGCTGACACGCCATGATATAACTGGAATACTATTAAAAGTGGCTTTAAACCTAACTCGCTCACTCACTGACTCACTATTAGTAGGGACACAGGGATAGATTCTCTAATGTTGTTCAGGATGCCCGCAACAGTTTTTCCTAACATAGTACTGTGATAGTATATATAGTGTCTGAATTGATTTGGGGTTTAATGGATCGGGTGGTCAGGCTCAGTGACTTGTTTGATTACATGTCATTGTGCCCCTTTGGCATGGATCATTGCACACAATATTTATCACTGGATTGTCAGGTCCAGACTCTATTATTTACAGACCGACGCAATATAGCTAGAATATTGCTGAGTCCTCATTAAAAAACAGTAGTAAACAATTCTATCTGTAAGAGACATGTTTTCCTGAAATGTAATGAAACTGTTGCCATGGTTTCTGACTCACACGAAGTGGCCTGTGTTCATCCGTGTGAAGAGAAGAAATGTCATCTACAGCTAGTGGTTTAACAGATAGAACACAGGTGTTCACTTGCCTCATGTATAATAATATTAGCATAGCTTAGTGTATATAAGAGAGCTCCATGTTAGGTTATACCACATACATTAGGCAGAGCTGGCCGGAAGATGTGGAGGGCCTTGGACCTTGGGTCTTGTTTATTTCACTTTGGTGGACTTTGTGTTGTGCTGAGCTGATGGTTGAGTTTGATGTAAAGTTCCAAGTAGAGGAAATTCACTTTGAGCAAGGGTTTAATACCAGCATTTCCACAGCAGTTCAACTTTGGATTTTGGAATTTAAAACTTGATGGTTTTTCCTGTTTGTAGACTTGAGAAAGAATCATTGCACAGCAATTCAGCTCTGACATTTGGAACGTATTGCTTACCTGATTTTCCTGTTTGCTTAACTTGAGAAACATAAGCAACATTTCAAAATTGTTCTGAAAATTGAAAGTTTTTCACCTTCAAAGCAGGTTTAGGCTCATCTGTTTTGTTGTTTGGCTAAAGTAAACCTGCTTTTCCTGTGAAGACTGTTTAGTGAAGAACATGATCTCTCGTTAGTTTGACAGTGTTAAACTGGTTGGCTGTGAAGCTGCCTTGCTGGTTCTCTATATAGACACGTCTGTTCAGACCCCCCCTGCTTGTAGGCCCGTACAACTAGACTGGCATCCTGCTGGTGTAGACAGGAGTGGTCACGCTGCCGAGGCGAACACCCGACCTACAGGGCCAACCCACCTCCTGACATGAGGACATTTGACACGCACATTTCACGTTCCTTTCACATGCATTGCAGAATGACATGCTAGAGTGGCTGCATCTACTGGGCCTCGGACAGTACTGCCAGACATTGACCGGCCAGGGTTACGACAACATCGACTTCGTCACCGACATCACTTGGGAGGACCTGGAGGAAATTGGCATTCAAAAACTAGGTCAGTAAATATTTACATAGTCATTTTCATTTTCAATTCCAAAACAGGTTTAAGGTACATTGTTAAACCTGTATAGGAGCGGTTATTGTGTTAAAATAGAAAGCTTACCTTCACATAGTCTGTTGATGTGAGCTCTGTTTGGAGGTAAGGTTATGATAATTTCTTGTACTTTCTTGCATATATATATATAGGCTGGTGTAATTGCTGTTGCTAAATTTCTTAAGCGTCATGTTTGGAATGGATGAAGGTATTCCTATCTCCCCAGGGAAAGATAAAGAGAACTTATGTCTGTCTGTTTGAACACTGGAAAGAATTAACAGACATGAATTCAGTTGGTGCTGTTGCAGCTGCTGTGGTTATCGCTGTTAGATTGTAGCCATGTTCATTCTCTGCCCTTGTACAAATTTATCTATCTATAACACAGCTGTTAGTAAAGGTTATATATTCACATTTGCACCTGGGCTTCTGTTGAGATAATATTAAACCTTTTAGGACCTTTCTGTAAAGCTGGCACTAAATCTGTATCGAAACAAATTAGCAATGTAAATATTTTAGATAAGAATTTGTGTTTGTTTTATTTTGGGGAATTAATTCTTTATGGTTTTTATTTAGTTATACACATCAGTGATGATGATTAACTGGTTGTTTATTCCTTGCGTTAAGACTGGAAGGTAAAAAATCTGTCTAAACTGCTTGTATAAGTGAAGGGAAAGTCTTGCATCAAATATCGCTAGACGCCTTCCTCATGCCAAGTCAGTCTGAAGATTGACAAGCTTTAAGACCCAGCAGTTGTTGTCTGTGGGGTATGATTCAGGTGTTATGCTTGGCGCACAGCTGGACTGGGTTTGTTTTAATACATAATGGACCCAGCTATTGTAATCAGGGATGTAGTGATACCATCATACGCTGATCCAGTAGAGAATGACAGGTTTTATCCTTGCATCATCCTGGAAATACCTCCCTCATCTACAACGAGGGCTTCGGCATGGTTTCGGGTTTGTTTGAGCTTCACTGGGAGACATGTGCTAAAACAATTGCATTTTTCCTAAAATAAGTCAACACGTTCACAGTAGATCTGTCTTCTTGAAAAGATTACCTTTTTCATGTTTTGGATGAGGTATTTTTACAAATGTTGAAGGTTGTCAGTGATTGACAAAAAACTCACTATGTATGTTACCGACTTATAATCACCTGAGGGAATTGTGGTGGGATGATTACAGAGTTCTCTCCCTTTAACACAGATCAATTATGATAGACAGCTGTGCAGGGGATCTGTGCTTCAAATATTTTACCTGGTTTTGCAATACGAACATGTATACAATTATTTCAGATTTGCTTTTTATTCTCTTAAATAGGTTCAAGTTGTTGTAGATAAACTGAAGTAACCAATTTTATGGATGGTTATTTTCTTTAAAAAATTGTTTGTTTAGGGTGTAGTGAAGTGTGAAGAAGAATTATGATAGACGAACGGCAGCATTGTGATGAAACATTTGAAATTGTTTTGGCAAGGCTCCAGCCCCATAAGGGCCAACGTTATGTGTAGTGAGCTGGTACCCTTGATCTAGTGATGAGTTAGATGATGGCTATATATATCCGCCCCCTCCTGGGTAATGTAGGAAGTGATAAGGCTGGAGCTACCTTGCAGGGCCAGATAAGATGACCGCAATAGGAAGATGGGGGATGTAATTTGAAGCCATGTTATCGGGCTGTAGCACCCCGGCCTGCATGGTGGCAGGGTGCAGTGACGAACATACTGACTACAGTTACATAGCAATAAACTTGAGATGGCATAGATATTTTTCATTTATTTGAGATTTGAAAAACAAAATTTTGACATATTTTTCAGAATTCTTTTTTTTTTTAATGAATTTGACCTCGTAACATTTGATGATATGTGGAATAAGTTGTGGATTATGGTTGTGTTTGTGATGTGTGCAGAGGAACGTGTGTTAAGAAGTAGAAAAGGGTATCACAAATGGGAATTAAGATTAGTAATTTTTTGTTTCTCAGAGATAAAAACATTTGAACTGAATCTCTTTTCTTAAACTAGCATAGTGGAGTGGTTAATGCATTTGCTTCTCATAAAGTAGGCCCGGGTTTGATTCTCAATATCGGGACAATATGTGAAGCCTATTTCTGTTTGATGTCATGATATTGCTGCTACATTGCTGCCAGTGGCATAAAACCATACTCACTCAAATTTTGCTGTTGATAAGATGTGATGTGAGGAGTTTTCAAATATCATGAGATGATGCTAGGATTGTTAAAAATGTTTGAATACTCTTTCATTTTTCTCTACTCTACATATTCTGTTTTGGCATTCCAGGTCACCAGAAAAAGATCATGTTAGCCATCGACAGACTCAAGAGAATTATGTCTGGCAGCAAGAGGTTATCATCTGTGGAAAAACGACGTGGCTCACAGGAGTTGCTGGAGCCACCATCCCAAATGAATAACTTGAGGTGGTCAGGCGACATGGCTCCACAGTATGTACAGGAGCTTGGTGTAGGTGCCAAGCCGAAGAAGTCACCATCGGGGGACAGTATTGCCACTGTGAGCAGCGGCAGCAGTGGTGCCAGCGGGACCAGCAGCAGCGGTGGCAGTTTGAGCAGCGGGGAGATAAGGATCATGCACATCCGGGATGGGGACAGTGTGTTCACTCGGCAGAACTCAACCGGTTCTGGAGGACCTGATGTTGTTGCCATCCAGGTAAAGAGGTCATCGAGCAGGACACCCAGCACAACAGAGTCAATACCAGAAGGCAAGGACATGGCAGGCCAGCCAATTACATATCAGTCTTTTCAAACTCCAGGAGGTGACCGGCGGTCAGGGAATTCGTTGGATAAGGACATTGCTGGTGGCGTTGTCATGGCGGAACAGCCTCGGGATGAGGACCGTGTGCTAGTGGCTCCAGTTGCACCTAAAGTGCAAGTCAAAGCTAAACCCGTTGCTAAGATCATTGCTAAGACAAAAAGATCAAGTCGAGAGTATTCACCCGATAATATTGAAATTGAGAAACATGAGTCAGAGTGTAATTCTGACGGGAATAAGAACTCGGTTCTTGCAGGTGGAATGGTGTTTTCGGGGACGTTGAAGAAGAATCAGACGAGGTCTGGCTCCCAGCAAGAACACATCTATGATACCCCCCATGTTGCACCTCCGCTGAAAGCCCCAAAACCAAAACCAAACCTTGCGATCCCCAAAATGCCTGTTAATGAATCTACAAGCCCAGGACCATCAAGTCCACTGTTTGTCAACACACAGAACCAAGACTCGGGCCCGTCCACCCCTTCCCCCACAGGAAGGGGCAAGCGAGCACCGCCACCACCTCCCAAACGAACACACTCAATCCGAAATGAGGGACCAACTCCTCGAGACGATATCCAAGAATTGCCCAGTCAACGACCAAGCATGCACCAGAGTGCACACTTTGGGGGAGAGGCTCGGGAACAGACAAGGATGACGGCTTCGGCCGGGCCTCCAGCTGTCAGTGTCAAGCCCCAGCAGCTTGTGCAGGCTCAGCCTCAGGCCTCCCCCCAGCATCATGCTGCACCTCAGAATCAAGCCTCTCCCCAGCATCATGCTCCTCCACAGCATCAGGCCTCGCCCCAGCATCAGGCCTCGCCCCAGCATCAGGCCTCGCCCCAACATCAGGCATCACCCCAGCACCAGCAAGAGATCCCGCCCAAGCAGCAAGCATTTGCCAGCTGTGTTCAAAGTCTCTCTCAAAGATTTGGGTCAAAGCGGGAAGAGAATGGTGCTCAAGAAAATACCTCTTCGGATGGGGAAGAGTTCCCACCTCCCCCTCCTCCCATCGCCATGGATATCATCACACCCAAGATTCACAATTACGGAATTCCTAGTAAATCAGACAAGGCAGCAGCAGGGGAGTTCGGAGGGCTACAGAGTAAAATAAGGAGGGACCTCAGTCACAGTCCTCACAGTCCTCATGACAAGAGGGCCTACGGGGGAGAGAAAAACGAAGGTAGAACATTTGGGGTGAATCTGCGCAAACACATGTCTCCCCCAAAGGAAATACCGCGGAATAATGTGAATGAAAATGTGAAACCCTCTGAGGTTGAGAACTTGAGAACAGGTTTAGGTGACAAACGCAGTGACTCTACAACTAGTTTCGAATCAACATCATCAACTTCCAGTGTGGATTCAAACACTTTGCCTTTTGCCAATGAAAATGTTGGCACAATTAAGCAAAGAACTCCTGCTGCTAAACCCTCTATAGTAGAAATTGCTGATGGAATGAATGGACAGAGAAGTGTAGATTTAAATTCAAGTATGTTTGAGGAGAATTCAGGGACATTGAAACGGACTCCGATGGGCTTCGGCCATAGCCCTGTTAGTAAGAACTCAATGATCTCACATTCACAGCCCAATCCAATGATGGCGGCGGGCCCAAGACCAGTAGTGACAGTGTCAGGCATGTCCAACCCTACACAGAAAGGTAATTGTAGGCACTGATACACCTATGTCACAATACAATTTCATTTCTTCCACTTTCTTGTTAAAACAGCCAACTAGTAAGATCAGGTTGTTACAGTGTGTGGCATGTTTGAGAAGCTCCCCTACGTGTCTTTTGATACCATACATATAGACGAGTGTTGATATGTATTATATCAAAAGACATGAATGTAAGATTCTATTTATTCAAACCAAATCATTCCTCAAGTTTGTAAACACTTTCTTGAGTAAAAAAAATTACAGCTAACCAGACTCAGAGGCAGAGTGATTAGTAAAGTTGTTCGATTGTGACGTCATGCTGAAGGTGGATTAAACTGCTTTATTTACAGGCCACAATGACATAGCTGAAATATTGCTGAATGCAAGTGTCATGTAAAATAGTAATAGATTTTTCTTACATAATTATGTAGCCAGTATGATGTAAAATACAATGGCGGAGAAAAAATGTGTAAAGACGTAAATTTAGCGCTGTTGGGCTGTATTAAGAGTACATATTTTCGATGTCCGTATTTGTTACAACCCAAACGAATATTAAAAGCTCTAACGAGGAGGCGTAGCTTAATTAGCACGGCCGGCTAGGCCTGCAAGCTGATTGGGTATTGCTGCCAGCCAGGTACAGAATATACACGATTGTTTCATTAGTTGTTGTCTCACAATGAAATAAATCAGATGAGTACTGTCATGCAAACAATAAACACAATTGAAGAAATAGTATGTTGCGCACATCGTTTCACACCGAATATTGACCTCAATCTGGGATCTAAATAGCCTTTTTCACGTTTCCGTTGTAAGAAAGAGGAGTATATTTTGATCCTTAAATCCCACTCATACGAAGGAAAGTACAGTGTATAAATGGTCATTGCTAATTGTAGAAAGGAGAATGTCTGAGGGTGAAAAGGGTGAAGAATAGGTTTGCCGATAATGGCCTGCTTTTAACAGAGGCCTGCTTGCTAGAGTGAAAACGCAGGGGCAGGCTTGTTGTGTGATCAAGTGTATAATTTTAGAGGTAGCTTGTGCAATCAACCAAGTTATTTGAAGGTAATTTCCACCGACAAGACCATATATGGAGGCCTTATATATAAAGGCTCCGCCCCTGCTATATTTTTGTTTCAGCTTTGAAATTGATAGACAGGACAAAAGTGCAAATAAACATTATTTACGTGCCACTTTCGATGGTTTGAATACTATATTTGCGTTAACTACGTTATGTTCTATCCAAATCTGCAAAGTTGTATATGCCCATGAGACGTGCATTTAGAAGCCACATTATCTACAGACTGCAGTGGAAAATAGTTTTCATTCACTTAGTTCAATGTAGACTTGTTACATGAAATATAGCTAAATACAATCACTCAGTTCAATGTAGACTTGTTACATGAAATATAGCTAAATACAATCACTCAGTTCAATGTAGACTTGTTACATGAAATATAGCTAAATACAATCACTTAGTTCAATGTAGACTTGTTACATGAAATATAGCTAAATACAATCACTCAGTTCAATGTAGACTTGTTACATGAAATGTAGCTAAATACAATCACTCAGTTCAATGTAGACATGTTACATGAAATATAGCTAAATACAATCACTCAGTTCAATGTAGACTTGTTACATGAAATATAGCTAAATACAATCACTTAGTTCAATGTAGACTTGTTACATGAAATATAGCTAAATACAATCACTTAGTTCAATGTAGACTTGTTACATGAAATATAGCTAAATACAATCACTTAGTTCAATGTAGACTTGTTACATGAAATATAGCTAAATACAATCACTTAGTTCAATGTAGACTTGTTACATGAAATATAGCTAAATACAATCACTTAGTTCAATGTAGTCTTGTTACATGAAATGGCTTGTTTGTATACCCGTAAAACCTTTACATTTGCCAAGATATATTGTGGGAAATATCCCACAACTGTAACAAAGACAGAAAGAATCTTATCAGGATACACAAATTGGATGCACAAAACAGTCTACACAGTAAGAAATTATTCCCAGTGAGACCACACTTCCATTTGCTATAGGGGGCACGGGTGGCCCAGTCGTCTAAGGCGCCGCAATTCGTGGTGCAGAGTTGCGTCCCTTGGGCACGCCAGAAACCTATGATTGTGGGTTCAAATCCCGGTTCGCCCTGATTATGTTTCTAGGTTTGTCAGCACCATACCCGTGCTCGTGGGTTTCACCAAAGTGGTAAACGTCTGAGACCTCCCACATTAAGCTGACACGCAGCGATATAACTGGAATAATGTTAAAAGCGGCGTTAAACCCAACTCACTCACTCACGCCATTTGCTATACAGTGATGTGCAGTATCTTAATATGCTGTGTGAACAGCGGCTGAAGGCCACAGCTGTGGCTTGTTTATAAGCATACTGGATGAACTGCCACCAAATTTTATTTACTTAAAAAATATCTAATTCCCAGTTGTGCCCTGACTTTAATGTCACATACTGTGAAGTGTGATGTCAAGATGTCTGAGCATTGGCTTAATCATGATAGTGATTTAAAAAACAACTTCAGTGTCTCTGACGACTGCAAATCCAAGTGTGTTGTTCTTGAATATATGCAACGCCTTGATCTTACAGGAATAGCGCGTCCACCTGTACCGGCCCACAAGCCCAAACCAGCGGTACCCCTGCATCATCAGCAGCAACAACATCAACACCATCAGCATGTGGGCAACCAGGACAAAGCTCCTGTGTAAGTCAATCAGGAATAATGTATGGAATGCCATCAGATTGTGTTTGTCATTTGTGCTAGGGACCGACTATTTAGTATTCTGGTGGGGGTCACTGCTTCACAACGTACAATAATTACATGTACGTGTATTTTCTCTGGAAGGAGGAGCTGTACATTTTTATTTTCTTTAACAACACATGTATTTCTGTAGCTCTAGATCCAGCATGTCCAATGTATAATTTATATTTGTACCTGAGGCAAAACTATGTTTTTCTACCTTTTTCTGGAACAAATGATCTCTGTGGAACAAAATCCCAGCACCCTGTCCCAGAATATCCAATAACTGGTCCCTGGAGCAAAATGTTCGCCAGTTAAAAATGTGAGGCTATCTTTACATTTTATTTTTGATCGGCCCAGAATTATGCATCAGTTTGCACAATTATGAATGGTATGTTGGGTACTGAGACATTTAAAAACATTTTGTTTCATTTGCACTGTGATCAACCATCGAAATCATGATAAATAGCTCAAGTAGTCAACCCACTATCAGTAATTTCTACTTGTACCAATATCTGTCAGTTGTTGAAAGTTCATGCCACATTACAAATATTATTTTTTGGCGTTGCATCTGAAAACTTTCTATACACAATCTCTTACATTACCCCCGTTGTCCAGTAGAGTATCTGCCCGGAGAGCAGAAGGTTGTGGGTTCGATCCCAGGCCATGTCATATCAAAAGACGTCAAAAGATAGTATTTGTTGTTACCCTGCCTGGCGCTTGGCATTGAGGGGAACAAGGACTGGTCGTCTCAGAGTAAGTATACTGTGTCTGGGTGGGGTATCCATGTGAAACTGAGGCACAGCATCTCGTGGGCTAGCACTATGAAACAGGCATTAGTTTGAACACTAGTTTCAAGCACATGCACGCACGCACGCATGTGCACTCACACACACACGGGCGCACACACACATCGCTATATAAGTGCAATAATCTTGAACGTGACATTAAACCCATTACACCTCACTTCACCTTTTGAAATAGTGCACAATTGTGACATGTAAGTCTAGGTCATGTAAGAGGATCACTCTATATTTACGGCTCTGTTTTCAGTTCGAAGAAGCCCGGCGGTGACACGGGTGATGTGCTGTTTGACATAGACAATATGTTGCAAGGACTGACGGAAGAGCTTGACGCCATGCTGGAGGAGGAGGTTGCCACATAGGTCACCACGGCGGCGACCTCGTACATCGCACGTCACTTTCATGTACATAGACATCGCTCAATGCTTGGAACCTTGTGGTGATGGGGATACAGCCCTTACCATAAGGCTGGCTGGAAACTTGGTGCACAGTGCTAGTGCTTAGCAATCTATTTCACCTGAATTTGACATTGACATATGCAAGTCTTTCAGTGAGGACAGACATGCCAGTTACTGAAATGGACATCTTTGGAGTGAATTAAGGCCTTTGGTGATGTTTATAGCAGTGTTGTGAACGTTTTCAGTTGGATTGAGGCCTGTGAAGGGATTGATATTTCAACTTGCCTTGTGCCAAAAGTTTGACAGTTAAACAACTGGAGTGCTGTGTACATAGTCTAAGGGAGACAACTCTCTTTCCACATGGAGTACTATGGATAATGCTTTTGGATACAGATTTCCTTGCCAGACTGTGGCACATTTCTTCCTCATGATTATGCATCAGGGATAACCCAAGTGAGCAGCTTCCAATTAAGTAATTCTGATGGATTTTAGCGGTCAGTGTTGCTTAGTTCTAGCAAACGAAATCTAAAATCAACGAGGAACTTCTAATCCAGATGACTCCAATCTCCATCAAAACATGTGACTTGATTTGTTTATGTCTAACAGAACCTGTGGTGTGATATGAATGTTTTAAATGTGCTAAACTGCTGATTGATTGAAGACACCATGTCTGTGCGCAGTTGTTGCTTTTTTTACTGTAACACCATGAATGACCTGGGTTGAGTCCTGCATTAACCCGACACTGTCTATGCACGTGCTTCGTACTGCAGTGAGGTTCCTTCATATCCAAGACACTAGATATTGCAGGAGTTAGTCTCAGTCAGTGTAGTCAAGGAAGCCTAACTTATATCAGTGTATGTTTTCAGGTGCATGAAGAATTTCAACAGAAACAGCACACTGATTGAACAGCAATAACAATGTCAGCATTTTGTGATGTTTTCCTACTTGTGACGTCAGGGCAGGATGTTGTCGAACAGAATTCTTTCGTCTGGACTGACTCTTCGTACAGTTTCTATATGTGTCTTTCTTTAGTCTAGCGTTAGGTACATCAGAGTCTCTGTCCGGCATACTCTGGAATCATGAGGAAGTCCCCCTTTGCCGCTTGGCAGTTTATTGAGCTTCAGCATCAGAGATCCAGCTGTAGGACTTGGAGGTTGGACTAGCATGAGATAACTGCATGTGGAGATCTGACTTCTGGCTACTCCACGATCCTGTAGACTGGAGCATCAGTGAGAAGACTGCCATCTCATGTTGTAGTCACACCAGCAGACAGTAGGGCCAGATGTGGAGCAGCAATGTTCAAAATTAAGCCTGATCATCTAGGGGTCAAAGTTAAAGATTCAGATTAAAAGTTAAGATTTTGGGGTCCCTAGACTCAAATACTCGAACAGCAAACTCCTTACGCCAGGCCCCCTATTATTTTTTAACTCTGCTTCTTCTTACTGTAATCATGGGTTTTGTTTGATATACACCTTACACTAGATATCTTTGGCCGGCCACTGATCTTTGAATTTAGTAAGAAGTGGATCATAATGTGTTAAAAATCATACTCCAAATGAAGATTTCGCATCCTTCTGTGTGGAGAATGTTTGCTTGTGCACTGTCTATATGCTGCTCCACTACAGTGTTAGACCACCTGACTCTGTGAGGAGCCACCTCGCTGTGGTAATGTTGAATTTAGAATCTGTAGTGAGAAGCCCTGGCTTTGGTAGTGATGTAATTGAAGAGATAGTACATCTCACATTCTTCATACAAACGTAACAACAAATATTGTTTTTAATGCTAGTTTCTTAAATGCTATAATAATATGTTTTTAAAAATACCAAATAGACATGTTTAGGGCCAAGAGAAAAGAATAATGTTTCATCTATAAGATCTTATGAATCTAAAATTTTGAATTATTTCATACCATGTCAATAAAGTCAGATTAATCAGTAAAGACCATATACCATTCAGGGCTTCTCACAGACAGATTTATTTTTTTCGCGTGTTTCGCAATAATGTTTACCCAAGTTGATTTCAAAGAAGAGATTAGTACGACGAGGGGGGACTGTTTCCTTCTGTCCTGTATAGTGATTAGGTACAAACCAACGTTATGGTATTATTATTTGATAAAAATCTTTACATCACTGGTTGTGTCCGTTCTAAAAATGGCTCATTTGAACTATCAGGTGACCTGATTGTATAAAACTGTTGAATATTTGTGAAATACTTTTTATATTGTACATGGTTCTACAGATGTATTCTCCTTCACAAGTTGCTTGTTAAAAACTAACCTGTCGCTCATCTCTGTGTTATTTTAAGCTTAAAAAAAAAATCAAATGTCTAATTGTCCAAATCAATGTTGAAGTCGCACATACTGTCATATTCACCTGTGTTAATTGAACTGGCTTTTAGTGGGACATTTGTTTATTTGAACATCCTTGCTTACAAAACTGTTGGCTACTTCTGTCCTTAATTCACTGGTGTCTTTTTACTTCAGAGATACAAGAATGAATCCTTCTTTTCATGTTTTGATAATTCTTCTATTGACAAGCCTGATCTGTTGTCCATTTCGCAATGTATGACCGGAGCACCTGTCACCCAGATGTCTCTTGACGCCATTGCACTGAGAAATACACCGTTGATCTCTCGGGTTGTATGCAATAGCTGCTGTTAACAACATTAGCAGGAGTGAAATGTAAATACAGAATATCGCCATGTCCATGTCAGTAGCAAGACGAAGCAGTCATGGCATGATGCATCTTCCCGAGGCAACAGTGTCCTCTGGCCTTATATCACAGCCTAGTTTATTCTTGGGAAGATGGACACAATGTTGAAATAAAAAGTCGCTGAGATTCCATCCTGCAAAAAATAATGTCATTTGACCATTAAGCTCCTGTCATTTATTTAGTGGGGGGGTGGCAGAGGGAAGATCACCAAAAAGTATTTATCTGTAGGTGAGACTCGGTTATTAAAAAATAATGCACATATTTGGGGAGCCTCATGAATATTTGGACATTTTATATTAAGATATTAATTCTTTTCAGGGAGGGCCTTGAAAAAAATGTACAAGGCCATTGGGAGGGTCATCCAAAAATATGATAAGCATTGATCATTTTTTTCACTGCAGTAGCTCACCACCACCACCACCACCTCCAAATCGTAACATAATAAATGTTTAAAATATTCATATGCTTTGAAACTTTGTTTTATAAAAAACAGTAGTTGTTTGTGAACCTTTGATTCAATCAGTGTCATTCAGTCTGTTTCCTTAACCTGTCGGGGTGGTGGGGTAGCCTTGTGGTGAAAGCTTTCGGTCCTCATGCCGATGGGTACAGTGTGAAGCCCATTTCTGGTGTCCCCTGCAGTGATAGTGCTGGAATATTGCTGAAGCAGCATAAACCATACTCACGCACTCTTACCCTGCCTTGAAACAAGATTGTGTCAGCAGGTCTCTTGAGCAGTTATTCACATAAAATCTGTCAGAATTTGACTGCTTGAAGGATCTGAAGATCTAGGATAGTTTGTGTTAATCATCATCGTTGCTTTGGCTTGTGAAGTGTTTGCTGCTGGTATGGACACTGGTACAGTTGTACTGATATTGCTGGTGTACAGAAGAGTGTAAAGTTGGGTGAATTCTCGAGGACGAAAATCTCAGAATGTGTAGACACTTTTAGCATAGCAAAATGCACAAATGATAATGTTGCTTATAAAGCTTCCCAGCTATGACGTATTTATTAAGTAGTTTTACTATTTATGTATACATGATATTGTTTATTTTATTAGTAAACCCAAATGATTCAGAATAGTGCATATCCATTCCTCATCCAATGAACTAGCGTGGAGTATATGCAAGGTTTCGTACGAACATTCTAACAAGTCGTGAAGACAAGTCTGTTAGACCACATAGTGGCTCTCCAATATGTACAGATAATTATATGCTTTTATGTAATATTCTCCCTAAATCTTACCTCAAGTTATGTGCAGTGCTTTAATGTTCGGTTGTTATTGTTGGAACTACTTAGGATCAGTTCATGCTTTGAGATTTTAAAGTTACAAGTGCCTATTGGACAGATTTGTCTGCTGTTTTAAAGCTATGACATTTTTATGAGAGAATGGTTTCAGAATTTGCAAAAGGACAAATCATTAGAAGAGACGTGCTACATTAAGACTGCAAAATGTATTTGGAATGTTTCGTAAGATAGTTGTTTTCTTGTCCCTATTCAAAGAAATTGAACTGAAAAAATATATTTCGAAGCAGTTAGAAGTTCCAGTGTTAAATCTCTGCCTGCCAACTCCCAGTAGTGTCCCTCTAGATAAGCACATCACTTTGTTATGTATCATATGCATGTTATTACAATGGTTAATGCATTGTTGTTGTCATTGAGTACCAGTTATTTAATAAAAGGAGGTATTTAAACCCTACAAGGTGTGCATGTAGATGTATCACTTCCGACATGTAATATATTGGTCAGAATAAACAGTTGACAGTGGCAGCTCAGGGTTCTGTTGTGACGATGAACATGAAAGGGAGACAACTGACATCCATTTAAGAGAAGTGTTTTATTACATGGCATGGTTTGTTTGATGCAGTGAGCGGGTGTGATGATGAAAGGGAGACAACTGAAGTCCATTTAAGAAAAGTTTTCAAGACATGGCTTGATGCCACTTTTTGCTACATGACTATTGCCTGTAAATATCCAGCCTGGGCCAAACTGGTGATTGATATTATTAGCAACGTCCCACAACGTCAAGAATCTTTAAGAAAACCCAAGGCATAGAGAACTTCCAAATGTGTGTGTGTAGCACACATGATGCGACTAGGGTTGAAATTGAAAGGAGAAAAACACATAACATGAACATCAAAATCTTAGTTTTGTATCCAAGTTTTAAGCTGGAACCTGTGTAATTAGTCAAATGTTTCTTTTCCAGGCATATCATCTGCCCTCAACTTCTAGCAGTTGTCAAGGCTGGGGAAATAAAATCATCTTGTTTGGTTTGTTGTTTTACGCCGCACTCAGCAATGTTCCAGCTATATGACGGCGGTCTGTAAATAATTGAGTCTGGACCAGACAATCCAGTGATTGATATCATGAGCATCAATCCACGCAATTGCGATCGATGACATGCATCCACCAAGTCAGCGAGTCTGACCACCCAATCCTGTTAGTCGCCTTTTACGACAAGCATAGTCGCCTTTTTACGGCAAAATCATCTTGGACACCAGTGTCCACCATTCGTCACAACTTGCCCCTCCCCAGCCTTGAAAACGACTTGTCTCCTATCGATCAATGCAAGGTGCAAAAACACAACAAACCAGGTAGAATAAGTGTGTGATTCTATATAGGATCCTTCCTGAATATTCACAATACTGAATAACAAGTACATGTACACTAGAAATGGTAATTGGGTTACATACTGAACTGCAAAAAAAAATGTCACTTTATGAAAGTTTCCCATTTTGTGGAGGTATCTTGTTTTCGACATTAGTCTGTATCCAAATTTAATGCGAAGTTGATGCTAACCAAAGAGTGCCACAAATATGGATGTAATGGGTCGCCAAAATGCTGCTTAACAAACAACCATGCTACGAAGTCCCAAATGCTTTCAATGAAAATCAAAATTCATTTGCGTTTCCTTGTGACTTTTCTTATAAATGGCACCCCCAAATACATGGATCCAACATTTTTGTATTGATACTAGCGCCTTGCCAAGACTTACGAGGAATCAGAGAAACCAGGCTTTTGGAAGACTGCATGCATTTGGTGACCTGGCATCCTTACTGTAGATAGTTCTCACGTGGACATTAAAAGCATTTCGTGCAGTCTGGCCAGTATGCAGTCCTAAAGCCAGGGTTTCTGATTCTGGGATGAGCATTATCTGTAGATTTTGCACACACATTAACATACATCTGTATCAAACAGGAGACGAGCCAACATTCAGAAATACTCGAGTATGCAGTCTAGGATCCAATCAGTGACACTGCACATTCACTAAAGGACGGTTTCGACAACCTGTCATGGCTGCATTTTCTTTTCTCACAGGCCAGCAAATAGAACCACATATTGACCATAAATGACAGAATTATAGCACATTCTCATGCCTCATGGATTGTTTTGTGAAAAACAAAGTATTCAATGTAGAGAAGCTAGTCAATGTACATACATCACTTATGCCTATTCTATATTATTTCCAAATGCAAGATCGTCTCTCTCAACGTACAAATGTCTGTTAGGCATGTGATCACTTAACTGTGATCCTTAAGCAATGAACCAAGAAAAGTGACATTTCCCAGACAGCTTTTATTTGGGTGAAGTTTGTACACAGATTTAGTTCTTGTAGCCTCTGCTTGCCCTGCGACCACGAGCCCGCTCGAATTTCCTTCCCTTGGAGCGTACATATGGACTGAAAGAAAATATTGAACATCAGAGCAAGAAAAACTGGCGCCATTCACTTAAGACAACAAATAAGCCACGTAACTAAAGCTGCAAGAAAACAAATGTAAACTGTAAAGACAGAAAGAGTTATCTCCCTTCAATTACCTCACACCATTCATAATCAGAACCTTCAATCCAGAATTTAACTTAAGTAAATTCATTTATCATGATATTGCCAACATTGAAAAAATAAAATGTGTTAGATATAAGACAATGTGTTGTACATACGCAGTATTGCTGTGTGGCACACCAGGGGCGGTTCCGAAGTGTCTGTATGCTTCACGGGCCTTTCTGCGACCTACAAGAAGTCATGTTCATCTTAAACAAGGATGACTTTCTAAAGAAGTGTAAGGGTAAACATTGTTTTAAGCCACAGTCAGCAATATTCCAGCCTTTACATAATCAAGACTAGTCCAGTGGCTGACAATAGCAATGATCCACGCACTCAGCAACATTCCGGTTATAATATGACGGCCTGTAAATAATTGAGTCTGGACCAGACAATCAAGTGATCAAAATTGTGTGCAACAATCCATGCTGATGGATATGAGGACATGCTATCAATCAAGTCGCAGAGTCTAACCTCCCAAGGCTGGTCAACACAATGACCTATTCTGTTACTAACCAGGAATCCCCAAAAGGGTTTGTCTGCTCTGAAGAGAAGCATTGAGCAATAGGGGCCTTTTCTGCCCTGGAATCCCCAAGTGCATATGAAGAGCCATCTAAAAGAGCAGAGTTGGATGGCAATGTTCAGCTAAGATTTTGTCTTCAATGGGATCAGTCCCGAAAGATGAAAACATCATTACAATGCCATCCAAATCTTAAACAATTAAAATAAATTTACCCAAGACCACAAAACTGGCTACTTGAAGATCTTCACAGTCCTTGTCAAAAGTTGACAGTCCCAATTTTATAGAATCAAAAAGTGATGGTGCACCATGCCCACACTGGTGAGTTTCACCAAGCGGAAAATGCCAGACACTGGCTTTCCTCCAACATTAGGCTAATACACCGTAATATAACTGGGATACTGTTCAAAAACGGTGTTACGGCCATCTCAGTACCTCAAACCGCATAACAAAATCAAGTCACCTCGTGACCAATCTCACGAAAGTCTGATCTTCGTTATCATGGTTATAGCTACCGATAAACAATCCATTTAGGAACTTTCATCGACCAATGAAATGTCTAACAAGAAGTTGACATTAGCTAATCACAAAGCAGCTTTCTCAAGCGAGAGGTGACGTGAGGTGAAATGGGGTTTAACGTCGCATCCAAGATTATTGCACTTACATAGCGATGTGCATGTACGTGTGTGTGTTTGTGTGGCTGCTTGTACTAGACCAGACTGATGCGAATTTATAGTGCTAGTTCACTGAGATACCATGCTGCAGTTTAACATGAATACCCCACTCAGACACAGTATACCGACTCCGAGCCGACCAGTCCTTGTGTTAGCCCCTTAATGCCGAGCACCAGACAGGGTAACAACATTCTCAAAGCTAGATTGCACAAGTTTCAAACTGAAGTTATTTCGGGTTGAGTTTCAGTGAATGGTATTTTTACAACAGCCAATCACACGTGGCTACATTTCATGGTCTTTGCAGCACACAAACAACTTCCTTATTCATGGGACAATATCGCGGTGCTCAAGACTACAACGTATCTTTGGAAATAGGTTTTTTAGTTTTTGTACAAAATAGACATGGAGATATGTATTAGTAATTGGCATAACAAAAACAACCATCCACAGGACAGGTAAACTTCAAGCTATCATGGTCTGTGGGAGGGGTATAATTTGCGACTCTGCTTCTAACCACAGGGGTTTGTCCACTCTGAAGAGAAGAATAGGGGTCTATTCTGATCTGGAATCCCCAAATTCATATGAATAGCCATTTAAATGAGCAAAGTTGGAGGGCAATGTTCAGCTGAGATTTTTGTCTTCAACGAGATCAGTCCCGAAAGATGAAAACATCATTACAAAGCCATCCTAATTTTAAACAATTAATTTGCTCATCCCAGCTCAATCTTTCTCACCTTGCATCAGCACTGTGTTCTGTCCCTTAGGAGATCTCAGCGCCAGCTGGTCAAATGTGATGATCTCACCACCATTGCTGAGGATACGGCCACGTGCCCGCTCAGTGACACGCAGAGCGCATATCTACAAAGAAAAATGTGCATTTGCATTCATCATGTTCATAGGAACAGTCAGTCAACCACATTATAGTGAGTGAGTTGGGTTAAACGCTTCTTTTTACAGTATTCGAGTTATATCATGGTGTGTCAGCTTTATCACTGTTAATGTGGGAGGAAAGTCCGAAGTGATGCAGGTCTCAGAGTGAGTGAGTGAGTGAGTGAATATGGTTTTACACCGCTTTTAGCAATATTCCAGCAATATCACGGCGGGGCACACCAGAAATGGGCTTTACACATTGTACCCATGTCGGGAATCGAACCCGGGTCTTCGGTGTGACGAGCGAACACTTTAACCACTAGGCTACCCGACCGCCCCGCAGGTCTCAGACATTTACCACTTCGGTGAAACCCATGAGCACGGGTATGGTGCTGACAAACCTAGAAACACAATCGGGGCAAACCGGGATTCGAACCCACAATCATAGGTTTCTGGCGCGCCCAAGTGACGAAACTCTGCACAGCAAATCGCGGCGTCTTAGACGACTGGGCCACCCGTGCCCCCCAACCACATTATAAATAGCATTGTTAGTTTGAATATTAATAGAAGTAAGTATATTAAAGATCACATGAAATAGTTATGTACATTATCACACTAAGGTAATGATGTCAATTGCCCCCCAAAATCAAAACAACCAAAAGGCTGACAAATTTACAATTTTTGTTGTTTAACACATAACTCAGCAATATTCCAGCTTTATCACAGAAACCTGTAAATAACAGTCTGGGTCAGACAACCCAGTGATTGATATCCACCCCCCTAGGGTACGATGAATCAACAACAAGTCACTGAGCCCAACAAACCAACCATAAAGTCACCCTATTCTACAACCCTAAGTTGCTGTTGACAATTCAGACCTGGAATTCCCATGTGGTCTCACTACAATCAGGGATAGAAATTGTCCATTAGCACTATCCCTAGCTAGTTTCCCTAATCTTAAGGATATCCCAATGGCTGGTAAACTTTCCAACCCATTGCAGGATGTTCATCATATATTTTGGCTAGTAAACTTCCTCCGTTAATTTCTATCCCTGCTACAATTGAAGCATTAACTGCAAAAATAAGTGTGCACTTTGTGATTGGGAAAGACTTTGGCCCCATATTTACAAAATTTTCCAGCTATTTTGGTATATATGGGCCATAAATTTCACAACATGGGCCATCAATAATTGCAATGGGCTATAAATTCAATATCATGCACAACTGCATCAACATTCAACCATACCAGCATCACCCTAACTATCACTACTATCTTTGTTTGACGTTCAAAACCAAAGTTTTCTGTCGGAAACAATCTGTTGTGTCTACATATTCCATGTATTAAGTTGACTGTACCAATAACTTCAATTTTTGTGAAACTGAGCAAATGCACTTATTTCTGTCAGTGGATCAAGTTTCGGTAGATTTTTTTTTTATAACATGACAGGAGGGAATCAGAGTGGAAATATGATCTTCGCATCGACAAACTGTACACGTTATCGTCATCGTCTAATTCTAAACAGCATGTGCCATCTGATCACTCTCATCTCTTCAGATATACAAATTACAGTCAAGTCTCGTTAATCCGACAATCGGCTTTATCCGACACTAATGATGGGAACCGATTAAATCAGAGCTATTTTGACCTGTTAATCTGACAAGTCTCGCACTCTGACACAGTGATCAGCGTACTCCGTGGTCATCTGCCAGCAAGTACACAGCCTGCAGAGATAAACTTGCTTAACAATAAACAATTTACGCTTTAAACAAAGAAAACAGGATTAATCACATACTTAGATTACCTCAATCTCATTAAAATCAGATAAAAGTTCTTGCTATCACCGAGGTCACGTCACAACCTTTCGCAAACTATGATCGACCAATGAAATGACTAACAGGAAGTCAACATTAGCCACTTAGAAAGCAGCTTTCTTAAGCTTTGCGGAACCAGTTTCAAACTTGTGACTTCCATTCCAGACTATGCTGTTAAGTATTTTGAATGAGTCATACAGTCCATAAGAGTTGTTTTGTGTTGAGCTTTAGAGGTTGTACGATTAGATAACCTATTCCGCTAACAATGTAACATAACAATATGAATACTTCATTTGTTTTTTCATTACGCCTTTGTACATGTTGTATCGTTATCTATCGTGTAGTTGTTGGATTTCCGATCATGACCATTGATACTACTTAATTTCGTTTATCCGACACACTTGTCGGATGTCCAACCATGTCAGATTAACGAGATTTGACTGTTCATTTTTTATTATTTTATTTTTTCTAATCACAAAGGGCATGGTGTTCAGCAAAGATCTGACTTCATTAGAATCAGTCCCGAAAGATGAACCATCATTACACCAGATGCTGCTGAAGATCCTCTCGCACCACAACTGAACTGTTAACCAATAAGGACTGAAGTGATTATTACCTTCAGCTTGGGCACCTTGAGAAGACGGATGTCGTCTGTGACAGTTCCAACAATAACAGCAACCTTTGTGTCACGGCCTGGCTTCTTCATCAGACGAACCTGGCCAGATAAAAACACCTTTAACAACCAACTCAACTTGTAACAATACTGTCAAAGTCATCAACAGATCCCGTGGATCCTAATGGATCCTAATGGATGCATACATGGCTATACATGGTTCATACAAATCTTGAGCCAACAAATTGTAGGCCATTTTCATGGCAGGGGTGGAGTAGCCTTGCGATTAAACCTGTTTGATCGGCATTCTAGTTTTGTTTGTTTATTTATTGTTTAACGCCGCACTCAGCAATATTCCAGCTATATGACGGCAGTCTGTAAATAATCCAGTGATTGACATCATGAGCATCAATCCACCCAATCGGGATACGATGACATGCATCAACCAAGTCAGTGAGTTTGATCACTCGGTCCCCTTAGACACCTCTTACGACCAGCACAGTCGCCTTTTGTGGCAAGCATGGGTTGCTGCAGACCTATTGGCATTCCAGTGAGTGAGTGTGGTTTTACGCCGCTTTTAGCAATATTCCAGCAATATCACGGTGAGGGACACCAGAAACGGGCTTCACACATTGTACCCATGTAGGGAATCGAACCTAGGTCTATGGATGACAGCTTCCGGTTTACTGCGTTTAGCGACATTTTGATGTACATTCTTACGGGGGGTGGAACGATACATCGATGCACTGGTGCATCGCGAGTTTTCATGTGACGATACAACACACAACCTGTTTTTCTCTGTATTGATACAAGACGAAATTGCTGAAATAAATTACTTACTACTTGTTAATTACCCCTGGCGTTTTTATCAGTCAGATATAGGAAAATGATAAGCGTTTCAGGTTCACTTCAACAACAAAATCCAACAACAACAAAAAATCGCCATTTCGAACATGTCTACAGCTAGCTCTTCTTTTTGAACCTGCTCTGAAATATACTGAACAGCATTGAAAACGCACCAGCAATAAATCTTGAAATCTTACAAAAACAACTTGAGCAATGACCGATTTTGATTAGAACAGACATAGACAGATTATTAAGAAAGACGACAAAGGAAACAGGAATACCACACAGTAATTACAATTACGTCATCGGTGTAAGGAAGACACATAGGGTTGAAATGAAAATGAAATGAAATGTCAATATCTGGTATTGACAGCAACACAGGCCATGCAACGTCTTCTCATTGATCGAATAAGTCTGCGAATAGTGTTCTGGGGCATTCCACTCTTGACGTAGTGTATTTTCAAGTTCTCTCAGGTTCTGTACTTGCGGACGATGTGAGAGGCGTTGACCCAGGTAATCCGATAGATGTTCAATTGGCGACAGATCGGGTGACAGGGCTGGTCATGGAAGCAGGGGCACATTATTGTTCGCTAGGTACTGTGTTGAAACACATGCTGTGTGCGCTCTTGCATTATCTTGCTGGAAGGTGTGCACATCATGGTGCTGATGAAAGAATGGGATGACGTGATTTGCCAATATGTTATTCCTGTAGTAAATGGCATTAACTCTTCCACGACAAACACGGAGCTCTGTTCAATGGTTATGACTGATGCCGCCCCACACCATAACACTCCCTCCTCCCCCCCATCGATCTGTCTGTACAACGCAGTCATTGTGGTAACGTTCTCCACGTCGACCCCACACTCGCAGTCGACCGTCAGCATTCCGTAAATGAAAACGGGACTCATCAGAGAACAGCACACCATGCCACTGCCGCAATCTCCAATGACGATGCCTTTTGGCACAACGCAGACGTTCATTTCGATGTCGATCAGTGACTATGGGTCCAACATATGGACGTCGAGCGCGTAGCCCTTCTGAGCGGAGACGTTGACGTACGGTGTCAGCACTGATCAACCAACTTGAAGCATGCCCAAGGCACGTTCACGTTCCTCTGCTGTTAATCTTGGCATTTCTTGTGTCAGTACCCTTTACGTCTGCAGCAACAAGTGATGTGGCTTTTAAAAGTCTGTCTTTTATAGCCCTATTCTGCATGCTTCCCGTGAAACAAAACACGTTTTCCATGATGTGCACGCAATTAGTTGCGTTTTGGCAATTTTGCTCACAAAAAAAATCAGGAATGTGTATAGACGAGCTGTTCTTCTTCATGCTTCGGCCAGAATGTCGTATATTACTCATTCACTTATATATTTTCATATGACTTAAGCCCGGATAAAAATACATCCATTTTCATGGTGGTACGTTTTCAATGCTGTTCAGTATGTTTATTGTCAAGATGTTTCCATGCGATTTGACGTAAATATGTGTATCGCCATACATATCGCATCAGGACCTATGTATCATATGCTATCATGCTGTAT